TTCGCTCAGTCATACCACGAAGACCTGAACTGAATATAAAATCCACTGAAAGATTCTCAAGTAGCTGTTCTGTGGAGCGCGAAGCAATCAAATATTCGGGAAATTCAGCAAAACCGGAAGTTGATTTTGAGCCCAATCGGGTCGAAATCGTTTTTGGCGTATTTCTACCAAAGAAAGCTGTATTAGCAGAAACTAACTATGGTCCGTTTCTATTCTTACTAGGACCTATCTATGGACAAAATACAAGCGAAATTAATTTTTCGACTTGTGCCATTGATAGGCGATTTAGGTCCATTTTTGTAGGCATTCACTCTTAAGTCCCCTGCTGACATTAAAACTGGCCAATATGCACTAACTAATCTCTGCTCATGATCACTCTACTTCAAGTATTCTCAACTGAAGGATCCTCGAGGATCTTATCAAGCTTCTTATATCAATGCAAAGATCATGATCAAGATCTTTAAGGATATTGAAGAACTTCAAAGATCTTGACCAAGATCCGTATGGATCTTCATGGATCTCCAAAGATATTTCTCAAAGATCTCACAAAGATCTTTGAAAATTTTGGAGAATCAATGAAAAGATCTTCCTTTAAAAGGATCTTGAGCTTGTAAGATCATTCAAAGATCTTTAAAGAATCCTTGAAAGATACATGTACTTAGGTCTTAACTGGGTCTTTGAAGATCTTGTAAGATCCTCAAAGGTCCTGTGAAGAGTTAAACCATGGCAAGCTAGGGCACCTCCCAAATTAATTTTTTGCACAACAAAAATTAAAGTTCTAAGTAGCCTGTCTGCAGTAAGTGCCTGGATATCCAACATCCATCCTGAGCCCCTCCCCCACCCCCCTCAACCAATACAAAGTAAGATCTCCAGGCAGGGTACTAAAATAAAATCCTGAACTTAAGGTTGATCTCTAACTGACTGACTGACTGCCCTAAAAGTGATTTATATTTTAAGCCATATCTGGTTACTTTCCATTCAACCACAAAAGTCATCAGCTGTGAAAAAAACCGACCAATGAGAATAATAATTTACATTCTTCTTGATGTCAGAGCTTTAATAATTTGTTCCATAAAAAGAATGAAAACATTCAGATCGATGCTAAACAAAATTAACTCTTTTTTTATTTAAGATTTTGACACCAGCTTTTTGTGTGTCAGCCCTGTTTAACAAAGAGATTCCATGAACATTGCCGTGCATTTGTTCAGTAATAGATCACAGATGATGTCAAAATGTGGTAAGAACAAAAAGTGGCACTGATGCTCTTACCACAGATTGACTTCTCCAGTGATATATTACTGAACAGATGCATGGCAACATGGAATTTATTTGTTTTATAAATTAAAAAAACAAACTTTGCATGGATAAAAGCTATTATATTCAAAATCATTTCATGTAACTCAAAAGTGGGGCATTTCCCCTTTTGACAAACAAGAAAATAGCAATTTGACGTCATTTATTGTTTTTACAAAATAAAGCAAACTGATTGGTTGCTGTGCATAGCAAAGAATTGTGATTGGTTCAGAGAAATCATGCCACTGTCAAACTTGAATTGAATGTTCCTTGTTGTGGAATGAAAGCAGAATTGCAGAGAAAGTAAAATTGAACTTTGAAATCCTCAAAATTTATCGTATTGAAAATGAAGGAAAAGTCAAGTGAGTTTTCCTCATCAGAACACCCCTGTGAGCGAAAAAAACTGGACATTGCCTTGAATACTGCTGGATTTGAAAAATACGTCCAGAAAACTTGTGGTTGCAGTCAACATTGGTGGCCATTCGATTCAAGGTTTGAATAGAAGGAGTGTTCGTGACGGTGGAAATTTGTGTCCTCTGTGGTTCGTGATTCTCAAATCAATTTGAAGTAATGTCGGAGACACTTTCTAGCAAGGCCATAAGCTGTGTAAGCTATACTTTGCTCACTGCTCTGCCCTGAAATGGGCTGGAACATTTGCATCAGAAAGCAAGGTTATGTCAGTGTTTATTTTACTGATCTTAAGAAGTGGTGTTGTGATGTTTCATTCCTGACATCAATCTGTGTCAAGAATTATTTTGAGACTGAGAAAATTTGAATTTTTTAAAATAAATTAACCTCACAAAAGTTTTGCTTATTGAGTTTGTTAAATGTGAAGCAAAGCACTAGGTTCTTGCTTTGAAAAAATTTCACGACCCATTTTGAGTTTCTTTTAGTCGAGTTGGACCGCGACTGCTCGAGTATATTTCGCAGGTCATTTTCCACAAAAAAACACTTTTCTTGTTCTTCTTGTTTCTTGTACATAGTTACAGCCTTGGCAAGACTTTTTCTGTCTTCCTTCCTCCAGTCAGGTAAAATGTCCTCTAAATTTTTGTACAATTCCGCCACTTTGATTTAAAAAAAAGTGAGGGGAAAAACTTTGTAACGATGATGTCAACATGCATCTGTCCTCTAACAAATCATAGGAGGGATCTAATCAAAACATGAGAATAATTTGGGTTATTATTGTGTTTTTGCTTTCCTCAAGAACGCATCCTAATTCCATTTTGGTCTGTCTGCAGCCCCCCCAAAAATCGAGATTTTTTTGTGAAGACTGCAAATTGGCTGACCCTCTAGGTTTTTGCCAGGGGCTTTTGGCCTTCTTTTCATGTCCATCTGCTACATCATTCTTGTTCTCTTTTGTGGCTTCTTTCATTATTCTCAATGGTTTGGTTTTCTTTGAATTGGTTTTTCACTGTGATTGCATTTGGCAAAAAGGGGAATGTAGTCCTAATGCAGACTGGAATGAGATATTTTGGCTGGGTGAAAACAAATTACATCATCTCAAAGCACGTGTATATGAGACGATTTGCGTTGTTGATCATTCGCGATCACTTGTTTCTAGTAGTTTTTATTCTGGACCATGGGTGGCCTGTTTGGTCAGGAAAGAGAGTGACAGGACAGACACATAAAAAGCTGGCAATTTAGCCTGCGAGGGAGGGGAACAAAGTACCCATGCCAAATTCAATATACTCCTACAAAAAACAGCATTCGAAGCTACACAAATTATATGGACACACTTTGTTTGTCCACTGTTTGGTCACATGATTTGGCATTCTATGGCAACTATGTTTTCAAAGGGTGTTTTACCCAAATTTGGTCTTTTTCTGGATGTTGAGGCAAATTTAAAGATTCCAGGACAATTTTAATACAATTTCTTGACATAATTTTACTTGTGTTGTTATATTGCTGATCTGACTTGTTTGAAAAATTTTGGAAGTTCAAGATGGCAGATCTAAGATGGCAGACATCTCCACATGTGTGACATCATTTTGGCATTCTGTGACATCATGATTAATTTAGATGCTTTACTCTCCACAGAAGTTTGATTACCATTAAGTGAATACTTCTGGAGATACATCTACATGTACCTTACTGTGTGAAATTTTTGCAACACTTTATATTTCGCGAATTTCATGATTAAAAAAAAAATGTGATTTAGTTAAAGTGACAAGAACAATAAGTGTTGCGAACATAACATGAAATTAAGTGACTCAGATTATGTTACAGGGAGGCGCGGTGGCCTCATGGTTAGTGCGCTCGTCTCTGGATCGAGCAGTCCGGGTGCGAGCCCTGGCCGGGGACATTGTGTTGTGTTCTTGGGCAAGACACTTTACTCTCACAGTGCCTCTCTCCACGCAGGTGTATAAATGGGTACCGGCGAACTTAATGCTGAGGGTAACCCTGCGATGGACTAACATCCCATCCAGGGGGGAGTAGAAACACTCCTAGTCGCTTCATGCTACAGAAACCGGGATAAGCTTCGGCCTGATGGGCCACTTGGCTCGTATGCAGACTTTTTACATTATGTTACTGTTAACTTATAGTCCTTACATTGGGTTTTCATTAATTTTGACGTTATTGTACCTTTGATAAAGTTGGTTACTTAATTCAAGGCCATGTTTAAGTAACATTATCACAGAAATAAGTTGTGTGTTACTCAAAAATGTGAAGTTGAAGTGATTCACAATACAAAAGATTTGCAAAATTGAGGAATTTAAGTGTTGCAAAATATGTGCACCTCAACATTGCAAAATAAACGTGTCATGAAAATTTCATGTTATAAGGTATTTAACTTGTACTGGGTCATACCCTGATTCAATTCAAATCAGGCTCAGTAACAAAAAGAAAAAAACGTGGCTAAATAGGGTTAAAGAACACCACTTAGAATGCATGGAATTTTTTGCTTAAATTTCAATCAGGAACTCACAACACTTAAATGTTCAAGACTCGCTTACATGTAGCTTGTGATGGTGTCATCAGTGTCACTGTTCTCTTATTAGTCAATGAGTATAGAAGAAATTTAACAGGACTATTCAATTGTAAATAAAACATTTGAATCTTAACATTTGTATCTTAAAAGGTAAAGGTAAAGTCTGCATACAAGCCAAGTGGCCCATCAGGCCGGAGCTTATCCCAGTTTCTGTAGCATGAAGCGACTAGGAGTATTTTTACTCCCCCCTGGATGGGATGCTAGTCCATCGCAGGGTTACCCCCAGCATTAAGTTCGCCGTTACCCATTTATACACCTGCGTGGAGAGAGGCACTGTGAGAGTAAAGTGTCTTGCCCAAGAACACAATGCAATGTCCCCAGCCAGGGCTCGAACCTAGGGCTCGATCCAGAGACGAGCGCACTAACCATGAGGCCTCCCACCAAGATGATCATGGCAATGCCAAAGTTTAGAATTTCCTGTCAACATACGGAGGCTCGAGAAAATGTCCACAAATTTTCAAACAGTTTTGTATCTTAAGTTTCTATTTTTTTTTTAAATAAAACAATTAAAAAAGATACAGGTAAAGGTTGACTCATGAGTACAATGCATTTGGAAACTCTGTGCAATGGGCTCTGAAATCCATCTTATAGAGGTTTGTCAGTTTAAACCATACCTTCCCCATTGGAAAATTTCACTTCAGTATGGTAATTAATTTCTCTTTAAAAATTTTGGGTTTTAAAACTTCCCTTAACTTCTAACTGGCTTGCATTGGATGAATATAATTTTGTCAAAAATTATTGTACGCATATATATGATAATGTACTTCCTGAAAGCACATGTTGCAAAAACCATATTTTAGAATGTTTTGCACCACAGATTTCCTGGTTGAATGGAAAGCCTTGACCTCCTATGTAATTTCACTTGGAGGTATAACATGTATTATTAATGGAAAGGTGTTCCAAAGCAGTGAATGCTATGAGGAGATTCTATCAGGTTGACACACTGCTTTGCCTGAAATTTTATCAAGAACATGTCGCAAAGATGGTGGATCATGTGTACTAAAGGCATCTGCAGTCAAGTGTGGATCGATATCCTTGATTAACACTTGATCGATACCCGGCTGACACTTCATCAACACCTCAGTTGACACTTGACTGACATTCAATCGACATCTCAGTCGAAAGTCAACTAATTTTTGATCAATGCATATAGGTCTGTTGACACTCGGCCAACTAGTGACCAACTGTTAATCAATAGTGGATTGAGTGTTGACTGAGTATTGATCAAGGTGCCGGTCGAGTACAGATTGAGATGCCAATTGAGGGTATCAATTGACAGTGTCAAGACTGAGGATGCCATTAGTACACATGATCCAAGATGGTTACAAGACAGTGTATTTACCTGGTTGGTCAAGGTCTGAATGTTTTTGGATTCCACTGTCCACCCAGAGTTGTCCACTCATGCCCATCCCTTTTTCCCACCACGTGTCCAATACTGTCAACTGTGCATTCAAGTTTTTCCACAGTCCATCTAGGTTTATCCAGTGTCCCATCCTGGTTTTCAAGATAAGATAAGGTAATATTATCTTTTAAGTTAGATAAGTTAGATGAGATGAGACGAGACGAGACGAGACGAGACGAGACGAGACGAGACGAGACGAGACGAGACGAGACGAGACGAGACGAGACGAGACGAGACGAGACGAGACGAGACGAGACAAGACAAGACAAGGTTGAGATTAAAAAAACAGATTTACATGTTTGCCGTGTGGGAGCACTAGGAGGACATTTGGCGATTAATCCCATTTCTAAAGTTATGGTGAAATTATTAAGAACTCAGTCTACTGACTATTGCTAAAAAAACACATTTATTGCAGAGATAATTTTTATTTTCTAAAAGATAAACCCAACCAAAACAAAAATGCCTATACCGCAAGCTATCTCAAATCACTGATAGGAGGAGTGAGTCAGGTGTAGCTGTAATATTCACTCAGCCTGGTTACCACTGATAACAGATGAGGTGTCTTGCATTATCACCTTCCAAAAACCTCACTAATCAGGGGGTTTCCAGGGGTTTCCACTGTGGCCAGCCAGCCCCAGTTGATAAATACCATCCCCATGGCCAGCAAATTATCCTTACAGGCAACCTAGCCATGAGACCTAATTCCAGGCATGATTGGACCAGAAATATAGAGGATGGGATGGGATGGGGGGAAACTTACAACAACTGATAAAAAACCCTTCAAGACTACTTAACAACTGCTACAAAGCTGCTAGAAAAATTGTTTGAGAACTCAAAGATCTAACTGTGAAGAAGCTGCAATGTTCCATGTGAGCCTGCATTTGTGAGGTTGACAGCTCAAGTGCTGGAAGAATGCTAAGCATGTAACTGTTTACAATGAACTTTGTGGTTGCTATAAAAATTGAATCATGAAACTTGTGTGAATTCTTTTTAGCACTTTTAAAAATGGTGCCATAAAAAGTAATGACCAGGATTGAATGTACATGTACATGTAGGCACTACAAACATGCAAAATGATTTGATTTGTTGTTTATAACAACAGCTTTTGAAAAACTGCAAAAATTGATGAAACATGAAAATTTCTTAAGGATAGCACAAGTCAATTGTGCAAGAGGATTCAGGACAGGCTTAATGGAAGTTACAATTAAGGAAAATTTCAGAATTTATAAAAAATCAAATGAAATTTGATAATAGTTGCAAATTAAGGCAGTTCAAAGGCAAGGCTGAATATTTGGACTTGGTGGAAACTGCATCTATCAAAATTAAACAAGAAGCTTGAAACCTAGAACTGCACTAAAGAGCAGATCATTTGAAAATTTCTTATAAGTCAATGACAGTTGTTAGCTCCAGGCCATGACGTTAATTAACTCTACAAAAAGAAACTAAACATCATGTCTGCAATACATGTAAGTGTAATATAGCAAACAAGCATTCTAAGCTCCTGGGCATAGAATAAAACTCTTTAAGGTAATTTAAATGACTTCTGATCTCCAACTAACTGACTTCCCCAAATATAGTTTTTGCTAAGCAGATACATGACTTCTAGGATGTGGTTTACAATTCTCAGTAAGAATGGATTGAAAGTCTCCTTAAGTGCCCATGAAATGAAAAATAATTGCTGCGTAATTGAAAGGCAATGGCATTTTACTGTTGGGAATATCTTTTTTTTTGTTTTAGAGATATTGATGTTTTTGTATTATGAAAATTTGGAATTAAAGTGATGACGTCATAAGCTGTGCAACTAAAACAGTAAAATACTGAATAAACAATATCTCCAGGGAAATATTGGAGTGGCATTCATCAAACTTAGCACCAGAAACGTACATTACAAAAGAAACTAAATAACACCTGTTGTGTTGTTGCCAGGACAACAGTTTTGCCACTGGTCCTGTCTTAATTAAAACTAAAATTCCCAGTTTTTGTTTTAACCAAGGAGTATCTACTTCCATGAATCTAATGAGGATAGTTTAGACAATATGGGAACCATGTCTGTTCCAAGCAGGACCCTCTGTCCCACTTTAAAAGAGACTGGAGTCAAGAGAGTTGCCATGGCAATGTCACTACGGGTGTCATTTTGTTTCTTTGTAATGTACATTTCTGGTGCCAAATATTTTTCTTTTCATAGGCATAAGTTAGACTTTCACTCCATTCAAGAAGATATTCATTCAAATATTTTTCATTTCATAGGAACTTTGAGAAGTTAGACTTTCACTCTATTTTCTGTCAAAAACTAAGTCACTTAATCTGCCAAGTTGATTACTTTTTTGGTCCCTTTCTTATTATTTTTGTACAAGTACTTTTTTCTAGGAGGTTTGTAAAATTCAGTTAACAATAAAGATTAGCGAAAAAACTGAGCAACGACGTTTCGGTGTTCGATTGCTTGATCCACGAAATGTTGTGGATTCACAAGAAGAAACCGAGCCTCAACACACAGTCAGACTCCATTCGCGCAAAAGTATTTGTTTAGGCTTTGAACAGACACTGAACTCATTACCAGTGTTTGACACCTCATTGGAATGAACATGAACATTGAACAGCTATCTTANCAGTTTTTTCGCTAATCTTTATTGTTAACTGTATTTCCAAATTTAATCTTATAAGAAGTTTGTAAAATTGAAAATTAAATTTAAAAAAAAGTAAATATGAAGTTGGAAAGATACATGTAGACAATTTTAAATGCAAGACATTTTCATTATTATATTGTTCTAGACAGTTAAAAATTATCATCAGAAAACTATCACTTTTCCAAGCATCTATCATCCATACTATACTGTACATGTAAACCTTCGAGTGAGCCTTTTTCTTGATATCTTTATTTTAACAAACTGATTTCTATCCAGGCTTTTAGCCAGGTGCCCGCCCGGCTGCCTTGGGGGAAGGCCACTTTTCAAGAGAAAATAAATAAATAAAGCAGAGATCTTGTTGATTTGCAATCAGTAATTGCGTAATAGTTCGAGCAAAATCCCTTGATTTCTATAGTGATTCTGGAAATGTGTTTTATCAATGACATCTGTAGGACACAGCTGTGCCAAGAGGCAAGGAATCCCAGTTTAAATTTTCAATGCAAAATTTTCCTTTGGCCAAATTTTCCCACAAACCGCAGTTCTATATTATCATAGGCGTACGGGCCAGGGGGTTGGAAGGGCTGCAGCCCCCCTCCCCCCCCCCCAAAAAAAAACAAAGGTAGATTTGTAAAAGGTGGATTTGTAAAACATGGATTTGTAAAGGGTAGATTTGTAAAACCTGGATTTGTAGCTGGTGGAAGAAAAAAGACAAACAAAAGGTAAACAAAACAAGAACAATTTTATTTGTTTGATTATTATCACTCACATTTTATTTTTACTGTTCTTATTCGTCTAGTAATGAAGTTACTCGAGCTGAAAGAATGGTATATATAATTCATCATTTGATTCTCTCTCATTTCATTACCATGTTCCTGAATAGTCATACTCCCGTTTGACATAACGTTTATTGCAACAAAACATGATTAGTGATTGAACATATTTGAAATCTGAAAATATTCTGTCATTTCCTAAACATTCTCAAAAAAAATTTTCATTCATGATTGCCTTCATGATGGTACACCACATGCTGAATGAACCTTCCCTGGGCCCCGAAACACTTTCACAATTTTTTTTCATATGGTAAAGAGGCCCTTACTTGGTTCCCTTATTAATTATTTTGCATCTTTACTGCCTTTAGTTGATGTCCCTAGTCTTTATGATAATCGTAACATATTTCAATGTCTGTCAATCTAATATCCTTGGTGTGGGAAATGATGAATCAAGAGAAAGGGGATTTTAAGTCTCTTTAAGTTAAACAAACAAAAAAACAAATAAACAACAACAATTGTAAGCATGGCTCTATTCATCCTGACTGAACCTAATTCTCTCCAACTCTAGATTTGAATAAGATGGTGATAGGTCTAACACAAACACCATTGTTTGTAATATGTCACAATGATTTCCATGTAAAATACACCGCATTGATGTCTGAGGGTATGTTAGAACACGCAAGTTATGTTATTTATAGCCACAAATGAAAATTGTAAACTGAATTGAATTGGAATAAAAGACCAATTTTCGTAAGACCTTGACAGACGGTTTACAGTTTAAAATTTTGTACAAACAGCAGTGATCGAAAGATAATCTAATTACATGGAAAACTTTGATTTGTCTATAAGAATGCTGGAATAATAATAATAATAATAATAATAATAATAATAATAATAATAATAAATAAACATCTGCAAAAGTCAAGTGACATGAAAAAGAATAGCTATTTTAACATCACGATCTGTTTTGGTTGTGTTTGCATTTTTGGCAAACCAACCTTACAAAAGGGAGCTGCACATTTGATTCCGTGCAATTAGGCCTTAATCATATTGCTTCCTTTCACTTTGTTCGTTTTTTGATTGTGTTTACTCGTGACCATTTCAAGCTTATACGTAAATTAGTCTATCAGGTATCAAGTACTCTATCAAGTTGAGCATGAATTTTATATATTTTTGGACTCTGAACGCTCAAGATATATCTTTCTCAGCCCTCTATGATTTTCTTTTCTTGTTACATTAGTATGTATTTTTATTTGGTCTAAAAGCTACTTGGATGATTTTTTCATCACAATTACCCCACCCCACTCCCCTCAGTAGAACATTTTGCATAGCTTGAAAAGCCTGCCATCCAGCCAGCCACCTTGCTTCTCAGTTACATAGGTTACACATTAGCATGTCCTCCCAAAAACCGGAGATATTTCAGTCTGTGGCCTTTAACACTATTTAGAATACCAGCTTCTTTTTGAAAGTGTCGCTTGGATTCTGCGGATTCACCTTTCAATTTCTTGACAACAACACTAACACACTTCTCATCAGCAACATTGAACTTGGCCAAATATACGGACCCAAATGTCCCACTTTCAAGCTCTTCTTTGATTTTAATTAAATTACACAAGAATTCTGGAAACTCCAAAGGACATCTTCACTTTTTGGAGAGAGATGGAAGCTTAAACGCTGCCATCTCTATTCCGCGCAGTGCAAACTTTCGTGCCCAAAATTAAATTAATATGCAAAATTATTTTGGTCAAAGGTCAATGAATACACCATTTTGCTAATGCTAGCTCCAGTCCCTTAGAGCATTTTTGTCCTAAACAGGGTCAGGATTTCAAACCCTTGGTGACACCCTCTACCCAAACACGGGTCAAGTCCCCCCCCCCCCCACACACACACACCCTGGGGAGAGAGGGAGAGTTAAGTACTTTTTAACATCTTTGTAAATAACAGTATTTGAGTTAAAGCTTAATTAAGCTTACCTTAGCATTTTTGCATATCAGCTTCAGTCACCGTGTCCCCATTTTATGTGTTTTGTAGCCTGTTGCAGGCATAATTCTTGCACTGAGATACCAAAACACAACAGAAAATACGTGTCAAGAGCCAAAGGCAGTCTTTCCATTGGTTGTTTGGCGTAAAAATAACATTTTACCTAGCTGCAAGCTTCAGCAGCCATCTTTCGTTCCCAGACTCTCTTGCTGCGAGCTCTGGAACCTAATTCACAAATTCTCGGGGGATCCGTTCGCTCACCGAGGAGGCAGGCTCCGAGCGATTTTCGTAATTTCGGTTCCAGACCTCACACTAGCGTATTAAAATTCAAAATGGCCGCCACAAAACACAGAACACGTGAAATAGATACCGTTAATCCTCGAATTAGCGCCCCCCCCCCCCCCCCCCCCCC